ACTAGAAATAATCTTTCAACACTACTTAAAGTATGATTATATTTCATATCGAGGTTCTAAACGTGATGTAAATTGGATGGGATATTTAGTCTGTTTTATAAAATGCACTATTTGAGTATTATCTTCATTGTTTCGTGTGCCTAATGCAGTTGAAAATTTTGCTAGGCAATCTATATCTTGAACCAAATATTTTAACCGTATGTCTGATTTTCTACTTAAGATAAATGTTGAGACGCAAGAAAAATGCATTCTAAGCGTTTACAAATTACAAAATTTTGGAAGTGTCACTTTTAAATGTACACCTGCCCATAAATGACCTCATGAAAATATCAATAAGAACACATATCGATTATTTCAACTTAATCATCATGATTTGGAACAAAGACAGGACAAAACTTCGGCTGAATCCATTCATATGATCCACATTTTATATGATCAATTCATGTCACAATGTACATGAACATCAAGTTGGCAATTAAGTACCCTACATTGAAACATTCTGATCATAAAGGTACATGGAAATATGAAAATTTTCTATGCACATGCTAAGAAAATTGAAGTGTAATAAGTTTTTATATATGTTATTGTATATATGCAATAATTACTATAAAATGTGTTGATCAAAAGCAGTGCCTCATCTTAAGCTTAAATAACATATACATTATATATAGGTGAGTTTCTTTCTTCTCTAAATTCACTTAGAGTATGCTAATCAATGTTTACACCTAAATTTATGGATAATAATATCATCATTACTGTAAAACTAGAATTTTGGACTTTGCTTGAGTGAATTGAATGCTTAGACTCTAAGCATTAAGAACACATTAAAAGTGGCATTTGGATTGAAAACTTTGGTGACAGTCTTGAAATCATAAGAGTTTGCCATTTGTCTCAAAAAATAAAATTAAAAAATCATAAGAGTTTGAGCTTATTTCACAAGAACGTCAGGCAGGGTTGATTCTCCATTGTGGCTGATTTAGGTTCAGCACTCATATATGTTCACCGGACAACTAAAGCAATCGATATCTAGCAAATATTTAGAAGAGTCCATGAACATGCCGCATGATTATTCACCTCGATGATACTCAAAGAGCAGAGCACAAGGCGTGAAAAGAAATGATTTCAAGGATATTAGACTTCAACTAAATAGTGAGAAATTCCAAAATCCACGAGACGTGAACTTTATTACTCCTCAAAACCTCAGCCGAAGATGTACTACATCACCATGTCTCCAATCCTAGGACGGGAGAGAAACTAGATTTCATAAGAGAGTTATTTTGGCATTAGAGTTTTGGAAAACCTTCGCAGTATATGTAATAGTATTTTCTTTCGAATTTTACATCCATCAGGTGATCATGCTTTACTTCGATTTCTGTCCATAATCGGCTAAAAAACACTATCAGGCTCAAGGTTTGATTGTGGCATTGACTCAATTTTCATTGTGTCAAAAGTGGCATTTTTTCATAAAATGCCACTTTTAATGAGATCTGTGTTAGACCCATTTACCTGTATTAATTGGATTATCCTTGCACGAAAATTTGGTATGTTGGGCTCAAGCTTGAAGACTTGTAAAATTAGGCTTTAGGCATTTGACTTAAAGGGTTTATGTTAAACACTGTGAATGATTCAAACCAAGTGGGCTTATTCTCCTACGAAGAAACTGCAATTCATGTACTCGCAAAGAAACATTCGCCTTATGATACTTGGAAAAGTATAGCTGGGAAATGGAAAAGTGAAATAGAACATCGATTTGGGTATCATGCCAAAGGTTTAGAGTCTCCATCGTGGCCAGTGCTATAAGATTTGCAATATTTGCAATATCGTATCGATTTGGCAGACATTGTATAGACGGAAACGCCGTCGTAGAGGCGTCGGACAGAAGAGACACGGGGCACGGCACTGGGCAGCGCTGGAGCAAAACGGAGAAGACCGGGGTTAATTAAGGTGGAGCCACGGGTTAGAGATGGGCCCAAGGCCGGGGGAGGAGAAGTGCGAGGCCACGTGCCTGGTAGGGTAAGCAGAAGCAGCTTTTGGTTAGGCTCTCACTGTGGCGCCCAACGATCGCCACGTCAATGTCGGAGGGTGACGTTCGGGCCGGTCGCCGTTACCATGGCTGCTTGTCGTCCCCCGCCCCGGAGGGTGGATACGCGCCACGTGTCGGCTGCCGCGCCCGCGATAACTGTTCGAGTGCGCATGAGCAGAGCAGGCGAGGGTCCGAGGGAATAGTTCGCCAGCACGGGCCGGGTGGGGCTGTACAGTCCTGGACCGGCCCCGGCCCGGTACTAGTCCAGCCCTCGTCCTCTGCCTGACGCCGTCTCGAAATGGCTGCTGCCCTCGCTTCCGTCTCCTCGCATCGACGCAGTCAGTCGAGAGCATTCAGTTGCGTTCAGTTGAGCTCAGGAAGGCGAGCAGGAAAGGAACAGACAAGGCCGAGGTTGTTGCTGAATTTGACAAGCGTGGCCCGAGCTGGCCGGGATTAGTTTGGCTGCTGGACGATTCGTCTAGACTCGAGCAGCGAGTGTCGATCAGCAGAGAGGAGAGGGAGGGTTCGCTCATACGATAATGGCTCGCAAGTTCATTTGATGCAAGTGTGGGCCTTTCATTTCGGCGATGCAGGAGGTAGGTACGGTCACGTAGGATGGATAGATAAGTAGATAGATATTTGTAGAATGTCCTTCTCTACCAATCTGGTACCAACACACTCTGCTCTCACTGGACCTTTCAACACTTTCGAGTGAGTCCACTCAGAATTCGCCCTGTGGGTTATAGTTTCAGGTGCTATAGACATGGAGCAAAAGGTCAGGAAAAGTAGCGAAGACTTATGTCCTTCGCCGGCCTTTTATTAGCGCCATCTCGGCCTCACCACATGAGTCTAATGCTCTCTTCTAACCCTTTGCTGTTCGACGTTATGTGTCGCCTCTGAAGCGTATTGTCCATTCCTCCCTCGGTTGCAGCTTCCAGCTACTTCCCGTTCGTGCCCTGGTTTCTCCGACCTCCCTCCCGATGATGTGCGCCGGGCATCAATACCGGGACGCATATTTGTCATGATTTCTGGGAGGCATGAGGAATCAATGGTCGCATCCATATTCCAGCATTCATTCTTGCCTGCAGTTTAACATTCATTCCGAGTTGGGAAACTATATTCAAGTGTACGCACATCAGCCTATATCATCACACACTTTCGTTTTATTTATTTAGTGAGGACACTTTTTAGCACTCTATGCTTCCTCTTTCTTTTCATCTCGAGAATATGTATCACGTGCTGGACAGTACAAAACTTCTCCGGTAGACTTCCAATAAAGAGAGTCGTAGATCCCGTCCCTCCTATAAAAGTCGGAATAAATATCTGAGCGTTTTAAAACTAAGCCTCCTCGAATTCTCTAATGAGTTATTCCGGTGAGACCGACTTCATGAATGGATGCAAATGGAAACCTGGGGGCCTAGCACGGAAGATAGAAGCAGATGCCTACAATAAGTATGGTCCTCGTTTTCATCCCGAGTTGTACATCACCTCCGTATCCTGCCCACTGAACCTTCATGGCAATCAAGAGCATATTTCGAAGAAACGCTCCGAGGTCTACAGCCGAGTGGTAACTCCGGCTGTACAGTACAGTAGAAAACAAGGACAAAGAACAATTGAATGAATGAATGAAGAAGGTTGAAGAACGACACTAGGCCAACCACTCCGAGCTTCTAACAGCTGCCGGTAATCATGATTTTGGAAGAAAACCAGGAAAGAGAAAGTAGAAAGCGGAGGCAATCTCGCGAACGTATTTACCAGAACCCAAGAAAGATCTCTCAGCAATGTCGAGCGGGCGAAAGCTCGTTCAATGATGCGAAGCTACTTGCCAAAACAGCGCATCTAGGACGAACTAAACCAAATTTCGGCAGATTTTGTAGGGAGACCATAGAGTGCTCGATAGAAACAGACAGATTCATCGTGAGATGGGGGCAGTGTGGACACACTTGTCCTGCTCGCATCGCTCGCACCACAAGGCAGGCCGAAAGAGGTAAACGAGGCCATGCTCTCGCGCGCTCCTTTTGTGTCGAAGCTTGGATTTGAGAACGAGGCGAGATGAGATGAAGTGCGAGGGAGTGTAGGAGGAGGCGCAGGGAGATCTATGGGGTGGGCATAATGATTGTCGTAGAAAGACGGAGGGATGGAATTTAAAATTAATGAACGGGGGGAAGGGGGCAGCAGAGAAATAATCTACGGAAAGACGGAATACCAGAATGGAGCTAAATATGAAATCACCTCACCGCCGGGAAGGAGGGAGTTGGCCGGGAAAGAGGCCAGGCAAGACCGAGGTTGTCGGATGCACGCTCTCAACAGACAAAGCGTGCGGCGTGCGTGCGCGCGTGCGCTGCACTGCGGCGCCGGTTTGCGGCCGTCGGGACCACTGGGACTCCGGGGCTCGATTTCTCCCCGCTTCGCTTCGCCCTTCGCCCTTCGTGGTGTTCTCCCGGCGAGTCGGCAACCTGGCGGTCAGGCCGGTTTGCGGAACCGGGAAGTGGGGACCGAGGTTCCCGAGCTCCCGGAGGTGAGGGGGCGATGGTCAGGCCCGGTCAGGCCAGCCCAGCCCAGCGCAGTTTCGGTCAGGTGAGTTCGGGTCAGCGCTGGTCAAAGGCCCGTCGTAAAGCAGGCTCGAAGAGTAAAGACGGACGGCATACGGCTGCAACTTTCCCGGTAACGGAACGGATCCTAGCCTAGTCAGCCGGAGCGAGGAAGGGGCGGTGGCCTACGTACCCAAAGTACGCAGGGTCGTAGGGGACGGGGACGCGGATGGGGCCGCATGGAGGACGGTCCTCCGGCGAGGAATTTCGGTGCTCGCAACGAGAGGAGAGGCCTGCCATGGGCCCCCCCCCCCCAAACTGGGGCCTGGTGGAGGAAAGCCGGGCCGGGTCCAGGGGCCCCCTCGGAGAAGCTGTCAGGCGAGTGAGTGAATGAGAGGGAGTGCTGTGATAGAAGTAGGAGAGGATGCACTCCTCCACTCATTCCTGTCTCGGGAAGGAGAGAGAAAGAGAGCGAGAGCGAGCGAGCGAGAGAGAGAGACAGACCCCCCTAGCACAAGCGTTGCTCTCTGCGTCTGTCGTATAAGAGGAGGAACTGAACTACAGGAGGATGATGATGGAGCAAATGCGGAAAAGGGGTCAAGGAAAAGGAAAAGAAAATAAATAGATGAGAAGCTGAAAGAGATAGAAGAAAAGGGAGACAGTGGCTGAGACGAAGAAGAAGGAGAAGAGAGGAGGTAGCAGTGGTAGTGGTGGTGGTAGTAGTAGTAGGAGGAGGAGGAGTAGTAGAAGCAGCGTCATCGGCTGCCCTCAGCTAGCTGCGCACTGCACTGCTCTGCACTGCCGCACTCGTTGTTGGTGCGGGTGGTGTTTTAGTATATGTAATGGGCGCGGACTCCCATTCCTGTTTTCGCTCTCGTTCCTGAACAGTCTCTTCACGCCCATCCGCCGCAGCAAGGTGTATTCCATTCATTCCCTCCTCGCGTTGCGTTTGCCTACCGTCCCATAGCGAAGTGCCAGCTACACATTCGACCACCCGAGAGACAGGCCAGGCGCACAGGAGGAGATGTGAGCGCCAAGAGCTGAGACTTGTTGCTCGCTGCTCCGAAGTGAATCAGATCGTGATGGCGCGTGCATCTTCCATATAACCTGCGGAGAAAGAATCCATAATTTGGGCGTGCTTTTTGCCGAGTAGAGGAACGTAGCGCGGCTCCCTTCCCCACACGCTGAGCCTGGTGCCTGGTGCCTGGTGCCTCGCCAGCATCATCCTCCCGCACGGAGATCTATCAATGCAGCAGCCGCAGCACCAGCGGCAGCCTCAGCCTCAGCTGCTGCCAATGACATTCCTCGGGTGCGCGGACCTCGTATGTTCGAGCGTGTAGCGTGTAGTGTGTGTGATGCTCGCATGCTCGGAATTCTGGAAGTCTGGAGCAAGCCGCGGATTTCAACGTAGGTAGTTTTAGTCGTGCTTCGGGGCAGAATCGGTCACAGGTGCATGATGGAGAGGCAAGGCTTGCCAATGCTCAATCACGTATTGCAGCACACCCTCCGCGGGCTGTGCTGCGACACGCAGTGGGTGTACGCTGTCTTCTGGCGCATTCTTCCGCGCAACTATCCCCCTCCCAAGTGCGCCTCCTGCTCCTCCCGAATCTCGTTTCCATTCTTAGGCCCCGTAGCTGCACACTCCGCTTCTAGATCTTTCCCGATGCCAGGCTTGTCCCAATTCCTGCTCTCGAGCCGACCTCGCTTTCGGACACGTGAAGCTCTGTGGGGACGAGAGAATGTGCCGGGTCGCTGACAGGCCGTGCTCGCTCTGACTGTGTCCGCTGAAGGTCTCTGATTGTGAGATTGGTGTCGTGTACAGGTGGGAGAATGAAGGCGGAGTCATGGACAGATCTAAAGGCAACAAACGCAATTGGTACTGAGCCCGCAGTCTGCGAAATTTTTCGAGTTTGGAGAGGATTGGTCATTGGTTATGGTGAAGCAGATCGATCAGCGGTCGTGGGGGGCTGGCTTGTGCTTGGAATTAACGCGTGTGCACGTGCACCTGTTGTGAATGTCAGGATTTTAGTGTGGGAGGATGGCTTCTGCGACTTCTCGGCTTGCACGGCCGGGAGGGAAGCCAAGCCCGGAGCTCGATACGGGGCCCACTCTTACCACACTGACGATTCTGCTGAGCCCACAATGCATCCCGAGCTGTTCTTCAAAATGTCGCACGAAGTCTACAATTACGGCGAAGGGTAGGCTCGAGCACACACCCAGCACACTGCTCTCTATTGGATTGTCCCCCCGAGGCTGGCTGTGTAATGCGTGTCTTGCACTAGGGCCGCTTGAGATCTGCAAGCGGTGTGTCTCTGGCTTGCTGAGAGCCCCGGGCTGCCAATGTCGAAGGGAATTGTCGTTTCAGTAGCAATTTCCCACAACGATCGTCGTCTGTTGTCAATCTCAGGTTGATGGGGAAGGTGGCTGCGGACAACAGTCACAAGTGGGTGTATCGAGAGCCTTTGGAGCACGAGATCAGCTTTCTGTCTCCATGGCACGGCTCTCTCGATCCGGTAAGCGGGCTGCAGACGGGAACGGCGTGCAATTGAACGTGGCGAGTGCTGCTTTGAGATCTGATTCAGGCGTCTTGAGGTGTATGCGGTCTGATTGTGGGCCTTGTGCTGTTGTCTTGCAGCATCCACGCACTTGGGAAGCTCAATTCAAAGCGGGCATCCAGGTACGTGGAGCTCTGACCAAATTCAAGCGCTGCCCTCGGCTGCACTTCCCTTGACATTGCTTTGCGGTCTCTAATAATTGCTGCTGTGCGACCGAAGCGACTCCACGCTCAGTGCAGTGGCCACAATTTCTCTGGACCCGAAAAGCTACGAACATCGCTCGACATGCTTCTGATGTTCTCATTGCACTGTCGGTGCAGACTGTGGCTGTAATTTCAGTTCGAGAAGGGCTGGTGCAACTCGGATCCCTAAAAAAGGTGCTTACAGACCAACACTTGGCCAAATTTCCGGCATTACGCTAAGTCTGCGGCATGTTTCAGTTCATGAAATAGTATTTTTATGCATAGCGCATGGTCCGATTGAGGCACGTCGCACACTCAAGCTTCAGTGCACTAGTATCGCCAGCTCGTGAAGTCCTACGACGGGGGCAATTGAAAATGCAAATGGGATTGCTATTCGTCCTGACCAGCACCGGGTGCCCTGCTAGCAGTGCTAGCCTGACGCGCACTGTGATGCTCTCAATTCGCCTCATGGCCGAGCGAGCGAGCGAGCTGGTCGTTCGGGCCGCAATGAGCGGCGAAGAGAAGAAGGGAGGGCAGGAGGGAAGGCCATGGGCTGCGGGAGGACTAACTCGCAGACGCTTGGGATTTGATCTCATCCAGGTCGTGGAGGATCTCAACTTCGTCATTCTGATGCAGCGCAAGTTCAACTATCTGCAAAGCATTCCGGGAGTGTTCGTGCCGCATCCGTCACCGCACCCGAGCATCAAGCGCAACAATTCGCTGGACGGCTCGCCGCCGAGCGAGGCCGGATGCTGGGCAGGCAACACAAATAATGCCAAGGACCCGGCCTCGATGATCGGCTTGTTCACGAGGTCGAATTCCGACCCCTTCCGGCTGACGGCGCACAGCAAGCAGCTCGGCAGCGGCGTGCTGGGCATCAAGCGCCCGAACGAGGACGTGCCTCTGACTCTGGGCACGGGCCGAGATTTCCCCTTCCTCTCCCCCGCCATCAACTTCTCCGGCAGTCCGCGATTCAACTGCGGCCAGCTCAATCGGGCGCCCGAGTGCCCGTCCCCTCCCAAGGCTCTGAACACGGGGCTCAGCGGCAATCACTCGCTGCTGCCTTCAATGTCGAGCTTGCACAATCTGCTGTCCAAATTGCCGTCCGTCACAGCGTCGGAAAACGGCTCGCCCCTCTCCTCGTCGCCTTCGGTGCTCAGCAACCTGAGCCTGTCCAACCAATTGCAGCATTCGCAGTCCTTCTCTCGGCAGCCTCTGAGCCCGAGCTCGTCGTCCGACTCGCCGGGCCTCGTCGGCAGCTTGCACTCGCACGGCGGAATGATGGGAGACCAGGATCCGTCTCCTAGGTCGTCGCCGCCGCACCAATCTTGCGCCAATGGCAGCAACGGGATGGCGGATTCGGCAGCGGGAGGTGGTGGTGGAGCAGGAGGAGGAGCGGGCTCGAGGCATGATAATGGCAGGAGTGTGAGCGAAACGAGTAGCTCGCAAAGACAACCGCACCAACAACAATCATCTTGGCACAACTCTGAGTACGCAGAGCAGCAGCATCATCAGCATCAGCATCATCATCATGCTCAGCAGCAGCAGCAGCAGCAGCAGCAGGCAAGTGGCATGTCGGACCAGCACCACCACCCGCACCACCGCCCTGGCGGCAACAAGGAAAGATTGTCGTCGTTTCTGGACACTTTCGATCCAGACGCTCTTTCGGATTTGGGTCTGCACGACGAGCTGCTTGAGAACAGCGAGACTTACAACTCGTTCCTGAGCGAGATTATTAGTTAGCCACCACGCCGTAGCCGTAGCGGCACCTTTTTTCTTCTTACAGTTTCTTCTTGGTTGTATTCATCAACTCATCATGATATAGATTCCGCGCAGACATAGACAGAGAGATTGCGACGAGAGGGTGTGTAAGTGAGGGAGAGGGCGGAAGAGCGATAGCGCACGAGGGAGGCGAGAGCTCGCAGAGCTCCGGAAGCTGCAGCACGATCTCGATTTAGATTATGTACCTGTAAGATTTGGCCCTGGACATCCATCACCCCATCCCTTGCCTTCCCGTCTCTTCCTCACTTATGCACGCACGCACACTCGCAGCACAGAACGACATCGGCCGACGACGAGCTTCTGTTACTTTTTTAAACAGGAGGTTAAGCAAAGAAGTAGCCTTGTAGATGTAAATTGACAGTGGTTAGCACGCAGACGCTTGTTTGATGCGAAGAGACAGACCAAATCCAGATGAAAAATTCAAAAAAATTATACCCTTGTTTCAGTGGAAGAGTTGTCTAGCTGTATCAAGCTACGCGAACAGACACCCATGGCAGTTGACAGTCAACTGCCATCCATGTACGAGGAACAAACGTGGTAACATCATGTAAGAAGAGAATCTCAGTTGACTGACAATGCAGCTTTTTCAAGCTCGCGCCTTATATATTTCTATGCGTCACACTTTGGCTGGCTCTCGGCCGAGCACTCAATTTGTTACGATAAAAACTAGTCCGGACTCGTGATGTAAAGGACTTCTGCGACGTCATACCATAATTCCTAATTCTTTCATTTGCCCCGACTGCGCCAGCATATGCATTTCGCCCGTGTCCGTTTCGTCATGTGCTCCGGTCTCGTACTGCGGTACTGTCGTCCGTCTTCGCGGTACACTCTCTCTTGTTTTGGAGTTTTCTCATCTCACCTTGCCCACCCATGAGCTGGTCTGCATTTAGTGGCGAGCACATGTTCTTCTCTCTCTCTCTCATACACACACACACACACACACACACCTCACAGGACATTCCTCGCTGCTCTCTTGCTCGCCCTCGTCCGGTCGTAAAACTCGGTCAAAGTAACAAGTTGAATATAGCGAGACGTACAGACAGACCATCATTTCGTTTGCTCTGAGGTCCGCACTAGCAGTCCAGAGCGGAGCAGTGCAGTGCAGTGAGCTTGATACGTGCGAACCTTAAAAGTGCAATATCTCTCGACACCCGCGAAGGAAGGAAGGAAGGAAGGGCTGGCTCGGCCTTGTCTGCTCTGGCCTGGCCTGCAGCGCATTTTCGTGCGTTATCTTGACACCTAACACCTGAAGAGACCGATGATTCGCGCTAACGAAATGTGCTCATGGCTCATGGCTGGCTGGCTGACTGTTCACTCCTAGACTCCTGCTGCCGTAGACGCTGCTTTCAAAGTCGACACATTTGATACGGGTAGATATTTCAAGTACCGCCCGCGGCCTGGGCTGCTCAGATCAGATCCGGTGGCGCCAGTCGCATTCGCCCATCGTCGCTTTTGTGCCAACAATTGCGCTTCCGTAGTGTTTTCTCCTGGCTCTGCACGATGCGGCGGACGCTAAGATTTGCACATTCGTCTACCTGCTGGGCGCTGCTGAATTGACTCGACGCGACCCGAAGTCGATGCCGCACTCGGATCGCTAGAAACCACCAGATGGCAAGCTCCGCGGAGTCGTCCGTAGTCTTCTCTCTACCTCTAGCAGGCAAACAATGAACAGACGTGACCATTTCGATTGCTAAGTTGGGTGTGTCAGCCAGCACATGCTCATGGATTGCCTGCCCTTGCCATAGAGCCCTGCGATGGGAGAACACGATCGGGCCCGGGGGTGGAATCGATTACCAGGGTGGTCTGTTCGTCTCGGCGATGGGTGGGTGGGTGGGTGGGGAGGGCAAATTCTGTGACAGTCGTCGTGAGTTGGACAGCGAAGTCTAGAACTGTGGCTTCCTTCTCCTCTCCCAGATGCCAAGGACCCCAAATACAAATACGCCCTGCCCTGTCGACTTGTGTCAGGGCAGATGCTAACAACAGTTTCGGTGGTCTTCTCGGAGCTTAAACTACTGTAATGCGATGGCATTAAATCCAAGCCTCCGGCTAACAGAAAAAGTTTCCTGAACTCTCGCTGTGTCAGACACCATCTCCACAATGTCATTGCAACCTGCACTGGGTACGTACGTGCCTACAGAACAGTGCTTATGGTAACCACTTCCGGGTCCTGCAATCATGGGATTAGAGCGAGCATTGGCAGGCTCAGAGTTGGGCTCGGCGGCACACTCCACACTCAGGCTCTCTCACTCACTGCCCGTCCGCTTGTCGCAGTCGTCGGCTGTAGCACACCCCTCCGGCGAACCCAACAGCGAGCGAGGCCCGAACGACGATTCGCGCTTGTGTGGCTCTCGTGCCACAGTCGAGCTCGAGAGCGCTGCCATCTTTTCTCGGAGCAACAGCCAGCAGCAGCAGCAGCAGCAGCTCGCTGACCCATGTAGCCCCGTCCACGGTCATGACACGACTGCCGACGAGAGTGGCCACCCCCTTTGCTTTGCTTTCCTTTGCTGCAGTCCCGGCCCGCCCCTTCCCGGCCCCGGCCTTCGAACAAGGTCCCACGATCTGCGCTGGCGGGCGGGCGGGCGGGCGTCGTCACGAGCCCCGGCTGCGCCAGCAGCAGCAGCAGAAGGCGCTGAGGGTCCCACGCTGCTGCTGCGACTCCCGACGGCCAGCGGCGCGAACCATTGCCCTGCGCCAGACGCTCTCTCGCGGCTCGCCTCTGTCCTCCTCATACGTTACGCCTCCAGTCCGGCGATGGCCATGTACGTCGCTCCGTATGCGAATTAATGTGGCCAAAAGTGGCCTCGTCTTCTGTCCGTGGACTCGATGGGTCCCGAGCCTTCATTACAATACTCCTCTGCATCGCGACCCCGACCCGCAGTCAGAGTCTGGCGGTCGAGAGGGGACACTCCGTAGGGGAGGGGAGGGGAGGGGAGGTCCATGCACGTACGCTCTCTAGAAAATCGTACCTGCCAGTGGTTTCTCAAATACATGTCGTCAGACGGGCGAACACGCAGGCCCACGTCGCTCCATCTTCTGCTTGTGCAGAAGCCTCCGTCCCCCGTAAGTGTGAATACAGTACGAGATTAGGCCTAATCGATCAGATCCTCGCACAGTCCCCGGTGGTGGTCTCGAAGGTCGCTGTCATATCGAGCACGCTTTTGCTTTTTTGGTGCCGAATTTTTCTAACCTCTGTACGTGACTCGTGTTTGGCTGCACCCGGTGACCTTTTCGTTCGGAGCTCATGTTCACACTCCCGATGCAGCTCGAGCATCTGGATCTCGAGCCTCTCGGAAAGGGCTGGAGTTCGTGAAAAATGCCTTTGATTCCTGCACTGTCTAGCGCGAGAAACTGTTGAATGATATAGACCCGAGAACGAAATCCTCACCTTTTTCCGAGACGTACTCGTTGCATCGATAAGAGGGCAATAATGTTGTAGCGTACAGTAAGTAGATCGAAGATTGTAACACGTAGTCAGACCAGGATTGTGGACAAAATAATTGTAGAGAATCGATTCGGAACAAATGGATCTTGTCGCTCGGTGGAGAACACCACTATAGAGGAATGAGGAGGCCTCGGAGGCTCCTCGGGCTCTCAGATGGACGCCGACCAGCAGTTAATGCAAAGAGGCTCGAGCCTGGAAAGGGGACCCTCGGCTTTTCATGACGAAAGTTGCGAGACCCCGAGCGTATTGACCAGCAACATTTTGGTTGGTGTCCCTTGAAAAGCTCTTATTGAGATAAGAACTCCATGGCAGATAACCATGACACCCAACAGTAATTGACATGCGGACAATTCCCCATTGTCCTCACGTAAGCTTGAGAAAGCTTATGTGAAGACAATCGGAATTTTGTCCAAACTCTGTGATGTCAGGAGAAGACGCAAGTGAACAACTTTACAGCCTTGTTCATGGTTTCGCCCTTGCACATTTTATTCTATCTTACTGTATCCGCACCACCAGGATCTGCGATCCTATGTGGAATTAAAAATCCAGACCACCTACTAATGCACTCATCTCATCAACCATCAACGAGCTTCCAGGCTCATTCTCCAACGGCTTCTAAACATCCGTCTACCAAGTATTTAAAAGTTACAATTTTAGGATGCTACAGCTTTCAAGTGTTTACACTTATCATGAATGTAGGTACTTCATGCACCGTTGTGTCCCTCTGAGTGATCTAACGCGTTGAGCATAAGTTTGAAGTCACTCGTGAGAATATCACGATCAGTTCCCACATCTTCGTATTATGCTCTTGAAAATTACATCCCATCTTGAATATCAGATGTAATATTCCTCAAAAATTCATGTCACGATGATATGGAATCTTGTCGTAGACCTCACTTACCTTCAATTATTGTTGGCACAGATTCACTGCGAGTTCAACATATCTAGCGTGCGAATATCAGCATTATACGTTCTAAATAATGGTTGCAAATGACAAATGATTCATGTATTTGCTACTTGAAATAAAGGCAGCATTATACAATTCTACTGCATACATTTATAACAAATGAAAATTTTTCAAGTCAAAAACTTAGTTTATCTAGTATGACTTCAAAACATAGTAATCACCTAATCTCACTAAGCGTTGTTATACTACATATGTTAAGGAAGACCTGAATCAATATTTAACAAATATTATATATCAAATGTGATTCATGTTTCATTTGCTATCTAAAAGACTTCATCAAAAGGTATTCATCCACAATGATGTTAATCAAGACTTGTATAAAGCATTAACAAACAATTTTTATCATAAGCGATTCATTAATCACAACCATAGCTTTGTGTCCCATTATGAATGTTGATTGTAATCCAGATACTAATATATAATAAAATAGTAATATACATCATTTACGAATTGATTTTTTTCTTTATGATGTTGATATCAAACATTTTGTGATAGTTCTGAATATGATTTTGAAATTTTAGAAGTGAATATAAGTTAAGCTTATCATACATTGTTGTTTTGTAATTAAAACTTTTGAAGAGCTTAATTTTTATAAATCTAAGATGTATTGCATCAAATCATAAAAAAGTTATCGATCAAAATAAACAGTTTCACGCATTAAAATAATTTTTAAATATTTAAAAATAGATAATTTTTGAAAATTATCACATACAAGTGATTTTTTATGATATTGGCCAATGAGTAATATTTTTGTATGATCTGATTAGTTTGATTCTTTACAAATAAATAAATTTTTGGACTTTTCTATATTTGATGATTGTCAATCTATTTACAGAATATTTTTTGACTTTCCTTTCTATAAATTTGCCCATCCTTTCAAGATTTTAGGTTTGAAAACATTTATTGTATTTCAGATTACATGCTTTTTTTATGTTAAATTGCAATATTCTTGGAGTGATGAATTTATCATAGGTCTGACGGTTTTCCATAGCTAAAACATAATAAATAAACATATCAGATGATAGTGATATGTAATATCATATAATATTTATATAATTATCAGACGTCATGTTGGAAGACATCTTACAAGTTAAACATCAACAGATCATTTTCCGTTTTGAAATCTAGATATACATTTGATGATTTCATATAGAAAAATAATTCTGAACTTGCCAGTCTCATGTATTATTCAATAAAATGAAAATTTGAATGATATTTCATGAAATAAATTAGGCTTCAATGAATATGATATAAGATTAAAATTACCATAATTGAGAAATAATCTCACAAAAGTTCAAGAATCCAAATGAGTTTTTATTAATGATACGTTACATCCATTGTAATTCAAATTTTTTTTAAAGTAGTAGATACGTCGTATCTACTACGATCATCTTTAATATTTAATTTAAGAAATAAAGTCTTAATTTTTTATCAATATTTAAGCTGTTCAGAAAGTACTGGAAATTGATACATTTTACATGCATTATACTTATTATTTCTACGAAATATTTATGCACATTTCTAAAATTTGAAGGAAAAAAAATTCTTTCATTGCATCTTACTGAAACATGATTCTATAATATAGAATCGAATGTACTCGTTTGAAAGAATTCTTCACTTCATCATCTTGGACAAGAGTAATCCCTTTCGATGTTGTCTAAATTTGTGGGAAGAAACGAACTGCAAGTGCATCTTCATACTCGAAAACTCCAAACTCCAAAACTCCATGGTCATGTCATTACAGATCTTGTGCAAAATAATCCTATTGTGTCCACTCTATGGGAATTTGGTTTTCCATGAACCATACAGTCTTAGCAATGGCGTCGTTTGTTCTTGACACGTTCACACCACAGAATGTGCATCCTTGTGTTCGCGTGGCATCAAGTCAAGAAGATTGCATTGCGTCAGATTTGTGCGTATAGCACCACATGGGCACTAGTGGAGACTTCAAAGCTGCAACATCGGACACTATGGTGGTGCCCCAATGGCTGTAGAATTGTGATGTTATGGACGGTGCCAGCAATCTGAAAAAGCTCTGATGGTCAGTTCCGATACGAGCTTACTACATGGTCGCTCATTGCCTACCATCTCCGAGAGCAATTTTGCTGCAGCTTCTGACAGAAAGTTTGTGTGCTTATATGACGAGAAGAAATGTCTGAAGTGATGTTTGGAGCTTTTGTGAGTAGCAGACTGTCGAAGTGACTGTGACTATGAGCATCTCGAGTCACATTGTCGAGTTTGAGTAAATGTGAACTTTTGATTCTAAGAGCTTGGTTTTGACGTGATGTGCCAATAGGGGAGTCTATGCCTGATCTACGTTCCTGAACCATGGAAGCTGCATACAGACGGCTGCTAGGTGGGTGGGCGGGGCGAGGCGGGGCTGATGCTCATGTCGTATGCCTGTGCAGTGAGGAAGTCGGCACGTAGTGAGATGCGTTCGTAGAGGCAGCCTGAAAAGAGAACATGGACTCATGGAGTGGAGGCTAGGCGAGGCGAGGTCGTCCACAACTGACTGACTCGGGTCCAGAGTCGACGACAATGTCGAGCTCTGAGCGCCTCCCCGCCTGGACATCCATGTGGACAGGCGATGGGACAAGCGAAATGCAGAAGAATGCCGATGCCCCCTTTTCCTTCACCAAACATCGACCCCACGACATTTCGTTCCAAGTCCGCCGCTCGCTCTGCCCTTCCCGCGCCGGCCCCACCTTCAGGACTTTCGGCTTCCCGGATCGCGCGCCTCATCCACGTGTCCGCCTCCCATGGGCTCCTTTTCCGTGTCGACGTTCCGTGCTTCCGTCACCGGCGCTGCCGGCCCCTCTCCGGACCTCCCGAGCCGAGCCGAAGATCATTTCTGCCCACAACCGACGCAGAGTCCCCCCGCCCCGCACGCGCAGGGCGAACCAGAGAGTGCAACGGGCGGCAGGGGGCCCCGGGTTGACAAAATCGTCGGATGATCGGGTCACGCGAAGGAGGGAGGGGGGCGCCCGTTCATTCATGACCGAGGATCGTTCATTTTGTTGGCACAAAGCCAACAAAATGCGCTCCCTCCGATATTTCACGACACGGAGGGAGCCACGGGCGAGGGGGAAGGGGACCATCGCCAGCGGTTGGGTTTAGTCAAGC